TGGCAGCTTCCATCACCATCCTTAATGGAAGTGGGCAACCACTAGTCACCTCAGCAGCCAGAGCAGGATGACTGGGGACTCCTTCCTCTCTTTGATTTAACCCTAATGTAACAGCATGTGGGCATGTACACTGTGCTGGCAGGGCAAAGCTACTCACATGCACCCTCTCATTTCAGCCTCACAATAACCCTATGAGTTGTTGTTATCCTCGGTTGACAGACAATAAAGCCACAGCTCAGAGATGTGATTTGCCTAAAGCCACAATTAAGAAATGGCAGCTCTGACCCCAAGGTCCACACTCTGAACTGCTGAGCTCCACTGCCTCTACCTGATTTCCACTGAACATCATGGCACCCCTAGTGTTCCCCAGGGCTGGCCACCTGCTCCAGGGCCGCCGAGGCCTAGGTGGGCCCTGCAGTTCAGCAGTCCTGTTAGAAACCCCTGAGCATCCAGACCCCCACTCCTCTCTCCACGGGGCCTTCTGAAGGGAGGAGGCTTGGCCCAGCCATTCCAAAAGAGCCTTGTGTTGCATGCCCCCATCACCATTCCTGCAACTGTCTACCAGCTGTAAGGGTCTGGGCCTCGCAGACAGGAAAACAAGCCCTCCATAGTATCCTTTGGGTGAAAACTAGACAAGCAGGGCAATCTGGTTAACTGGTTAATACACATCCGCCAGGAAACGTTTCTTGACTCCTTCTCATGGCACAGCTGGTCCTGCATCATCACCAAGTTTCTCTTGCCTGTACCTATCCCTGGACAGACACCTCTTTGGGGTGGGGATAGGTCTTGTTCAGGCTTACTAGTATATTCCAGTGCCAGATGCATCACAACTCTCAATGAGGACCTGCTAAATGCAGGTACTTCCCTCATATGCCTTGTATCTGGCCACGATCTTGACTAGGCCCTGAGCTACTTAGGGGCTGGTACCCTGGCTTCCCCCTCTTTTGATATCTTCCCCAAGCTCTCAGAAGAGGCTGGCTGGCACCCAGTAGGTGTATCCAGCACAGATGAGCAGATGGCAGAGCCCCTCTCCCAGCTCTCACAGGGCTGGTTGCCCTTCACTGCACTTATCAAAGTCGGTAACCACCTGGGCTGGTTGGTTCTTTCTCCCAACTAAACTGTGAACTCCAGGAAGCAGAGACCATTTCTGCCCCCATCATTCCTAAGCTCTCATGCAGAGTCTACCATGGTGCCTGGCACACAATAAGTGCTCAATAAATATGTGGAATGAATGGGAAAGGGTCTTCAACAAAACAAAAGCAAATAGCAGAATAGAGAGCTTGGTCACCTATCCTTTTTACTTAAGGACCAAAACCGAAGTTCTGAGTGGGCAGATGCCCAGGACTTCCAAATATCCACATGCTCTCATGTTCTAGCCAAAGGGGCTCAGGGTAGGTCACCTTCTGAGAACGGTGAGTGTGGGTGTGCAGCACTGTTCTAAGGAGCAGAATGGAGCAGTGTTTTTACTGGGCGTGGCCCCAGAACTCAGCTCCTATCCCATCATCAGGACATAGGATACAAGTGACCACAGCAGTGACCGGACACAGAACTGATGGCTCAGGATGTCTCTCAAGGTGCCAGTCATGCAGGCTCGGCACCATGTTGGGGAACTGGCGTTAGGCAATGGTCATGCCAGTGACTCACCACTGTGTGCAGAGAAAATCGTTCAGATTCAGCTAACTAGAGCTTTGTGGAAAGTCTTGCAAAAACTTAAATATGTACAACAGGGGTTAACTTGACTAATATGAGCGTAAGGATTTGCCATAAGCTACTTTTCAAGCTCTAGTAACAGGCTGCCCTGGTTATTCCCACTCCCCTTTGTGACCACTACCATATACCTATGGTAGCTGGGGACAGGTGTGATGGGTGTGGGTGCAAACAGGATCAAGGTCTCTGGCTGCCATGAGAACGGACCTGCTGGCTGTGACCTCATCATCTCTGTGCTCAGTTTCAGAGCCAGCCAGGCACAGACAGGGAACATGTCCAGGTCTGCTGTGTGGACACTAGTTTCTCAGAGATGATGTAGCAGTGGTATCCCCCACCCCACGCCCTGAAAACTAAAAAGAGAAAGCTTGATGGAAGAAATGAAACTGATTTAGTACTTGACCTAAATGACAGTGTCTATGAAAACTCCAGTGATAGGGGCACCATGGCATTTGGAAACCAGAAAACATAGGCTGTCTGGTTTGCACATCATGTCAGCTTTCCCTTTATGGTCAAAGCCCCTTTGGCTCTCACAGCAGCCTGGAGTTGGTGGAGCAGGACTCGAGTCCATATGAGTTGTAAGGAAACAGGTCCAGGAGGTTAAGTGACTCACTCTAGGTCAGTGGTCGGCAAACTCATTAGTCAACAGAGCCAAATATCAACAGTCCAACGATTGAAATTTCTTTTGAGAGCCAAATTTTTTAAACTTAAACTATATATGTAGGTACATTGTTATTAACTTAATTAGGGTATTTCTAAGCTGGCCTCTGCTAAAAACATCCTCAATCTGACTGAGGTACATTCGCTGAGGTCGACCCCTTCCAACTCTCCCATCCACACTCGTCTTGTATAGTTGTTTCACCTATCTCCTTTCGTTCATCCTCTCTATATGTCCAAACCATCTCAACATACCTAAAAAAAAGTTACATTTTATAATAATAAAGCCACCATCACAAAATAATAACAATTCTTAAATTGATGACAAAAATACCTGTAGGATTTACAGCTGGTTGGAAAAATACAGGTAACTTTATGCTTCGAGTAGGTACTTTTGTCACCCGCGCGCGATTTGCAGACGCGACTAGCACTAACCACTGCACAATGAGACTGCTGACTGACTGGCTCACTCAACTCGTGCATGAATCGCTCGCGCCTCTCCCATCCACACTCGCGGCCCGCCTGCACCGAGTCGCCCCACCGACACCCCCCACTTCTTCTAACGCCACTTCTTCAAAATAGACTCGCCCAGGCCGAAAACCGACTTCTGGGCATGGGCCACGAAGTTTCAATCGCACTGTACGTGCACGCCTGCACGTGGTATTTTGTGGAAGAGCCACACTCAAGGGGCCAAAGAGCCACATATGGCTCGCGAGCCACGGTTTGCCGACCACTGTTCTAGGTCACACAGCATATAAAGTGCCAAGCCAAAACTAGAAAATGTCCTCTGATTCCTATCTAGTGACTTTTGTGGTCTCCCTGGATGGCTGCCAGCATGTGTCACATAAATTCTGGGCCTCTGTTTCTTTATCTCGATAGTGAGGAGAATCATGCCTACCTCATGCTACCAGGCATGTCACCTGTAAGAGTCTCTGACATGCAGAGAGTCAAAAGTCCCAGAATATGTGCAAAACCTCACAACTATTAACACACCCATTATGATGGTGCTTTCCATAGGGAAACCCTTGGTGTTATTGAGACCTGGGAGAGGAAGAAGCGATGCAGCTCTTCTGCTGCCTGACTGTAAACTTTGGAAGAGGTACCTTCTCTTGCTAAGAATCAAGGTGCCTCTTCCTACCACCTACGCTGATAGTGTATGGAACAATAAGTAATAGCATGACAACAGGACAGCAGGATATGGGACCCTCCTCGAGTACTTACTGATTATATGCCACCCCTGGCAAGTCCTTTCATGTTTTGAGGCTGGTTTTCTTATCACTAAAAAATGGGGGTGGTTCCCTTCTAGCTAGCCACCCACAATTGCTATGGAGCCACCAATAAGACTAATAAGATTTTATCTATGAAAAGGTCCAAAGAGAGATGGCTGATTCCAAGACTGGGGCAGACAAAGTCCAGGGTGAGACCAGAATACTCATGATGTCAGAAAGCAAAGAAATCTATAGAAACTGATGAAGACATGGCAAATGGACACAGAAACCAGCTTGAGAGTCGAAATTTGAGCATCATAATGAGTAATGACATGATAGTGCATAAACCACTAAATTAAAAAAATCCATAAACCAACATTGATAGTACAAAAAAATAAAAAGAAGGGAAAGGTAAAAGGGAAGCTCTTATTTACAGATGAATGTCAAATAATAAATGCAGAAGAAATAACAGAAATGGAAAAATCACCATTTTTTAACCACTATGGAAATACCAGATTCAGGTAAGATCAACAGGAAATGCGAAAGCTACTGGGTAAAAGACTGTGATCCAGGATGGGCTGAAATCTGCAGATACCATCTTAATCAGATGACCAAACTGAACACCACCAATGACAGGACAAAGCCACATCAGGTGCCTCCTGACGTGACACCAGAGAAGGACTCAACATCTTTTACACAATTGTCCTACTAAAACATCCGATCTGAATCCAAGCATGAGACCAACCTGATTGAAGGACATCCTGCAAAACAACCGGCCTGGATTCTTCAAAAAGGTCAGTGTCATGAAAAAGTTTTTTTAAAAGCTGAGGAACTGTTTAAGATTATATGAGACTAAAGAAACCAGACAGCCAAATAGAATGTATGATCCTGAAATGGATCCTGGATCAGGAAAGAAAGCCAAATAAATTTATAAAGGATATTAGGACAATTAAGGGAATTTCAAAATAAACCATATAATATATAACAGTCAAAAATAAATGTATAGCCCAGCTGGCATGGCTCAGTGGTTGAGCATCGACCTAAGAACCAGGAGGTCACAGTTCGATTCCTGGTCAGGGCACATGCCTAGTTTCAGGCTCAATCCCCAATAGGTGGCATGCAGGAGGTGGCCGATTGATGATTCTCTCTCATCATTGATGTTTCTATCTCTTTCTCCCTCTCCCTTCTTCTCTGAAATCAATAAAAATATATATATTTTTAAAATGTATACATATGTGTGCATACACACACATACACACACACACACAAAGTTGGGAGGACAAAATGTTAACAACTGGTGGATCTAGAGAAAAATGTTCATTGTACTATTCTTACAACTTTACTATAGGTTTGATAAGTTTTAAAATAAAAGAAATGAACAAAAAAGCTGTCAGAACTGCCAATGGTGTCACAGTTGAATTGGGTACTCACCTGTCAGGTACTCCAGGACAGCAGCCATGTACACGGGCGCCCCCACTCCAATCCTGTACTTGGGGTGGCCTTTCTTGATGTACCGCAGCATCCGCCCCACAGGGAAGATGACTCCTGCCTTGGCAGACCTGGAGGTTTTGGTGGACTTCTTCTTCCCGCCCCTGCTTGACATGGCGATGGCCCTGGAGCTAGATCAGTAAACACACTGGGGAGGCAAGAGGCACACCATCAGGATCATTGGGACAGCACCATTTCCCTTTCCCCTTATACTCTGGACCCTGGGAGAAATAGGTACTGCCCGCAGCAGCCCTCCGAGCCCTATTAATACTCTATGCTGAGGTGCTGTGGCCCCTAAAGAGAGAATGGCTTAGCTTTTTACATTTTATAACATGACATCAATTTTATCAGCCCTTTCCATTTAAAGGTTACTTTGACAGTGACTGTTCTTAAGTGTCTTGCTTTTATGCCACATGATGTAAAAGAAAATGGGAATTCTTGGCTATGTTTTATACACTTAATAACGCATTCTCATATACTAGAGACTGGAACTAATAAATTTGCTGAAGTCTTCAAAAAAAGAAAATAAAAATGATGTCACCTGTCCTAGAATGAAGCTTTAAAGCCAGATACTTATGTTCTTTGATGAAAGCAGCATCTGTACCTTACAATCCTTCATCTGTGAGAGGCAGGAACAGCTCACAGGAGCTCAGTGGGTAGCCACATTGGAATAAGAGGCCCCTGGACACTTCCGGTCTGCTGAACAGGCCTGCCCTTAGAGAAGTGTTTTTGCTTCCCTGCTCCTCCCATTCCCATCCAAAATGCCACTCAGTCCAGAGGATGTCCCCTCTTCAACACCTCTGTGGGGTCCTCTCCTCTCCACCCCAACGATGACTAGATCCAGGTCATCACTATCTTAACTGAATGATCACAAATGTCTCCTGAAAAGGTCTCCCACCACTGGCCCCCTTTCCTGTAATCCACCTCCCGATATCATTAAACACACAAATCTGAATATATCATAGCCCTGGTCTTAAAGTGTTCCCTGGCTGCCAAATCGCAAGATAAAATCAGGACCCTTGGCCTGTCAAGCAGCCCTAAAATCTAGGCCTGGCACACCCATCCAGCTTTATTTTATGCTTCGGGTGGTTGTGTGTAGTCACCCCACATGCCTTCCTCTGCAGTGGTTGTGCTTTGGCTAGGACCTCCTCCATCCTTCACACTTGCTTTCTGCCCTCTGCCAACCCTTCCCTGAGTACTCGAATCCAGATGTTCCACCCTCTAGGCTCCCATGTGCTTCATGCATGATAGGCAGGCACATACCCTCATCTCTCCAATCAGACTCCAAGTTCTTGAGTCTGCCCATGACTGTGCTCTGAGTGTAGCACCACACAGTAAAGTCTGAAATGCTAACAGCATTTAAGTCACCATGCATTCTCTGCAGGAACTATGCTGGGGAATGGAAATAACAGTGCACAACACAGTGTGGTCCCTGTTCTCACAGAGCAGGTGGGGAAGAGAGACAAAAAACCCTACAGTTGTTTAAATGGTAGTGGTGAAAGACCGGTGCAGGGTGCTAGGAGAGAGGCTCTGATGAGGCCTCTACCCATTTTGGGGCACCAGGCAAGCTTTTCCTAGAGGACAATTACTAGTATGCTCTGACCATTGAACCAAATGGGCAGGTCTCCCATTTACTGGTAAACTGAGGTTAGGCTCCATGGGTCCCTCAAACTCCAACAGTCCATGACTCTATGATTGTGGAGGCCACAGAGTTAAAAGTCCTTATTACTCTGATGGCCAAAGCTACATATGGGACATGCCATGATGTGTACCTAACATCAGTGTGACCAACCCTCAAGATCATCTCAAATTGGCTGCCTGACAGAGATGGCCAAAACAGCAGAGAGCAGCATTCCTAGAGGCAGCTGTGCTTAACAGGCCCAACAGAATTAAGGGGCTCAAGCCCTGATTCTGGAAGATGTTGGAGGGGGCTGAAGACCCTGGGAAGAGAACCCTATATTTCACCCTATCAAAGGGCGCTAAATCTTAATTGATCACTGAGTGCTAAAGAGTCCTATAAGGGTCTGAGTTATTCTAAAACATTTACTTGGCTCTATTTCTTGCTGTAATGAGCTCCATTTTAAAAGATTCCCTGCAAACAGGTGCCTGTGCTCTCAGGGCAGGAAATGGAATATGTATACATACATGTGTGCTCACGTATGTTTGCAGGGAAAGCTGTCACTGAGTTTCCTAGCAGTCTTTTGCTTTACTACAAATGTGTTTCACAGACCACTTTACAAATCAACTCTATACTTTTGGATTAAGCACTTTTCAGATTTGAATGTTTCCCTTCTTTCAGGAGAGGCCTGTGGTCAGTGATGATTAATGCAACTCAGCCCCATTCTTATTGGAGCACAGACTTCAGCTCTTGTCTCCAGGTGGCCCCTGTCTTGCCCCAGAGGAGCCATTAGCACTCAGAAACCTGATGGGTTCTAAACACACTTATTCCTTAAAAGTGATGCTCCTGGTGCTTCCCTCTGAATCTAGCTAAGAGTGGTTACATCGCCCTGGCCAGTATGGCTCAGTTGTTAGAGCATTGGCCCTCAGACCAAAGGGTTTCAGGTTCAATTTCCAGTCAAGGGGCACGTACTATGGTTGTGGGCTTGATCCCAGGCCCTGGTAGGGGCTCATGCAGGCGGAAACCAGTCAATGTGTCTCTTGCACATCGATGTTTCTCTCTCTCTCTCCCCCTCTTCCCTCCACTTTACTCTCTATGGAAAGAGTATCCTCAGGTGAGGATTTTTAAAGAGAGTCATCACATCATCCACATGCTGGAAACTCACAAGCCTCCAGACTCCAGGCCTCCAGCCCAGTGCATATCTGGCTGTTGAGTCGCAGAGCTCTGTTCTGATTGCCTGTGGCAAAGGCCCACTCAGAAGTCTTGTAGATGCCTTAAACTCTTCTGGATTTCTCCGCTCCATCATTGGCAACATCATGCATCAAGCTACCAAAAGAGTCAACCTGGACCCACTTCTCTGCTCACCTCCCAGCACCCAATCATTAGCCAAACTCTGCTGAGCCCACCTCCGTAACTTTTCAAGCCTCTTCCCTTCTCTTCACCCCACCCCCACCTTGATTCAGCTCTACTACTTACCTACTTCCCCAGCACCAGTCTGGTACCATAGACACTAGAGGATTTTTGCCCACCTTGCTAGTTCCTCATCGTCTAAGCCAGCCACAAACAGCATCCTTCAACTGCTTCCGCAGTACTGCTTCCTGCCACCCTGCCTGGGCTCAGAAGTCCCAGGCTGCCCCTGACTTCCTGACCTGTGATGCTGTGCCCAGAATGCCTTTATACATGCTGTTTCTTCTGCCTGTCCTCCTGCCAATCTGAACTGTGCTCACACGAACCCTCTTCTCGGACCTGGCCATGGACTGGAATTGCTATCTGCTTTGTGTTCCCATAGCACATATCCTGGCACATATCTGTGTGCCTCCCTCTCCAACTTGACTGGATTGCAAGCTACTTGATGCCAGGCACTGTAGTTAATTCATCTCTGGTTCTCTGGGTCCCAGGAAAGATCTAAAAATTCATGGACCCTCAAGTGCCACTCTGCTCAATGAAGATCTTCATGTCTCATGTGAGGCCAGTTCTCTCTGATAAAGCAGATCTAAGTCTTTATCCCTTCCCCAAGGGAGGCTATCCTGCAAGACTCTGTTGCTCATCCCTCCCCATGTTTTTCTGCAATTCTAACTACAGATCCTCAAGCTACAGCCACAGCTATGAGAATTCTGACTAAGCCATGCAGCCTCATGACATCCAGTAATGTGTGGGAATATCAACTTGTAGCTTGCAGTCTCCAGATAAACCCATGAATGTGCAGGTCCATCCTGCTCTTCAGCAGGCAAGGAGATATGGGCAGCTATGGCCAGGCTCCAATGTGGGGATAGTGGCTGTGACAGAGTGGTTGTTGAGGTTAGTAACTCAAATTCCAAAGTCAGACTGATCTGGTTCAAGTCATGGTTCTGCCCCTTACAGCCTATGTGTCCCTAGACACATGATATAGCCCCTCTGAGTCTATTTCCTCATCAGTCAAGTGGAAATGATGATAGAATAGACCTCAAAGAGTTGAATAAAAGCATGCATATCCTATATAGTAAAAGGGTAATATGCAAATTGACCCATGCATATCCTATATAATAAAAGGGTAACAGCAGAATGACCGCTCAACCAGTCACTATGAGGCACACTGAGCGCCTCTTGGTCCCTTTCCCCGGCAGGCAGGCTCTGATTGCCTGATGGTGAACGGGGAACCAGGGGCTGGGTGGCGGCAGGGGGTGGGGCAGGCTATGGGTAGCTGGGGAAGATAGCCCCGATTGCAAGCCAAGCCTAGCGTCCGTACCCGCACATGAATTTCATGCACTGGTCCTCTAGTAAGAATAGAATTAAATACACGCATGTAGGTAAAGGCCTGACACCCACTGAGTGCTCAGTAAAGTTAATAAAAATGACGACCATGTGCATAAGATGAAAAAAGGCCACCATCTTGAAGAACTGGCATTGGATGTTTGTATTGATGAGGGCAGCACTAGTTGCTATAATAAGCCCCTACAGCTTTTTTCTCACTCATGACAAGTCCCAAGTGGGTTTCTATGACTGACCAATGCTTCTCCACGGGATGATTCATGGATCGACACTCCCATTAATCCATCACAATTCCCATGGTTACCATGGAAGGAAAAAGGCCATGCAGGAAAACACATGGAGGTTTTCAGGGCCCAAACCTGGAAGTGAGGCGTACTACTTCTAACCATGATCCATCACCTAGTACTTGATCACATGGCCAACTGCAAGAGAAGTTGAGAACTGTCCTCTACCTATTTGCTCAGAAGAAAACAGGAAACAGTCAGCCTATCACATGACAAACCAACTTGAAAGCTGACCCTGAAACCATGTCTAGATGACCAACCAAAGCCTGCTGAGCCCTGTTTGACCCATGTCCTGCACCTAGCCTCTTCTGAGAAACGTATAGTTCTCATCATAGAAAAAGTAACTTCTGATGCACTCAGCTTCTCTTCAGGGGACAGATGTTGCTCACAGGAGAAACACCAACACTCTCTTGTCAACAAACAAAGCTGTGTCCTTCCTTCCTGGACTCATCATCAAGGAGGATACCTCATTCAGCAAAATAGAAACCCTTACCCCTG